GCACATAATATAAGTATAAAATACACCTATAGATATTTATTTAATATTACGTCACTTAATATATTTCACTTGTTATTTATTGACATTCGATGGAAATGTGCAAACTGTGGGTCTATTCGACTGCGGAGAATTCGTTACGCTACGACTACCGGATATTTGAATAATACCGAAAACGAATAGTTTGCGCATGTATACATAAATATGTATTTTTGTCGGGTAAACGAATATCATTGTTGGTCGCTGCAGCGAATATTGGTGTGTGTGTGAGGGGGGCACATATAGTGGCTATAGTCATAATATATAGGTATATTTTTGTCGATCGGTGAGCTTGTGGAAAGGTGGATTTGCAATGGGTGGATAGGGGATGATGATGTTCTTGCGTATAAAAAAGCAAATCACACACTCGATGGCGGCGGTAAAAAACCACAATGAGTGAAGATTTAGTCAAATTTTTGGGGAGGGCGTTAAATTTTTTAAAATCAAGTTGACGTTTAAATGGGAAAATACATTTTCGTGATCGCATTCCCCTTTTATTCATGTCTTAAATATTTTCGTTACTTTTATCAGTTTTATCTGAAATAGTATACATAAAAAAAAAAGAAAATATAATTTTTTATTTTGTGAAGTAATAAGGTCGGCAAAACACAAAAGACATACATTGTTGAGTGCGAAAATATCCTGAATTAGACTCCAATTACATATTTTATAAAACAAATAACCGTACAACAATAAACATTGTTAGGTACTTGCCAAGCCTGATGTTTATGTGTGGAGGGGGGGGTGAAAAGTGGTCTGATCAATAGCAAGCTCAAACACATACCCACTTGTTTGGACAAACGACGATTTACAAATTTACAAAACTATACCTAATGGTTATCATAACATTAACTATGTTTTATTAATCTAAATTATACTAAATACGTGTACGACGCCAACCTACCTCTGCATATGCCGGCCGGGCTGTAGTAGTCGTCGTACTGACACACCAGCCCTTTCCTCTGGTCACACACGGCGATACCATCGCATGGGTCGCCATCCTGTCTGGCGCACACGGGGCAGCAGCCGCATCCGTCGCGGGTGTGCGGCACGCCCGGTTCACAAACTGGGTCCCTGTTGGCGCACTGACACGGGTAGGCACAGTGGGACCGGACCTACGTGTGAGAGARAGAACAATAAGATAATACGCATAAATGAAAACGAAATAAAACAATTCACCCAAAACAGTAAAACACTCAAATAGTATTGATTGTTTTCGGTATGTTTAAATATTATTCTATATTATACTTAGATATATTTATATATATTATTATAAAGAGGTAAAGTTTTGATGTTGTAGCCTCTAAAGGGAAATCTCTGGATCTACTGAACTGCTTTTGAAAATTTTTTTCCAAATAAAAATCCACAATAGTTATGTGTGTCATAGGCTATATATATTTTCTCAAATTCAACCTCTACAGGGGATGAAAGGGTAAAAATAAAAATTATAACTTAGCTGAGATATAACTGAATTTATGAGTTTAACATTTAGTCATCAGTTTCATTTTATGATTCAAAAAACCCCTAAGAAAGGATTTATCAAAATTCAACCACTAAAAGGGTTAAAAGGGTTATATAATGTAAAGAAAAGAATGTCTGTTTGTTCGGTTTTTTATAATACATTATATACATGTATGGTATCATTGATCATAGACATAGTATGGTATTTAACGCTAGTACAGTGACATAAATGCAACTTCAGCTGCACCGGGGGCGTGTATTATAGTAAAATATGGGTTAATTGTATGAAGAGAGTAATAAAAGTGATGAAGTCAAATTTACATAATAAATTATGTGATAACTTAATAACTATTTTGCATATTTTGTTCTTCTGACATAAAATATAACTAAAAATATAATTAATATGTTAGAAATTAAATATGGATTCGAATAATATCGTACACACATAATATACTCGTATTATATTTAGCTTTGTAGTCGATTATATGTGTTATTTTACCAGTTATTTCTGAAGTAACACTTTTCTTTGTATATACACTATGTGTGTCTATATATATATAGGCACAACTACGACGACGGTCAAATCTACCTGTAAAGCTCAACGTTGGTGATGGGGGTGGGAAGGGTGAGTATTGTCAGCTACCGGATATTTCTGGGATTCCGCAGGGTCACTGTATTTAATACATACATATATAATGAGCTTATATTTAATATTATATACACCTCGTGGCTTAGGTAATAAAACAAACGAAATTCACCCTCTCGAACAGTTCGCAGACAATTTATCTGTTCGGCCCATTTCGCGCGCGGTCCACAGTGTTATACCGTAGACTTTTTCCGTTTAATTTCCAAGCGGTTTCCGTCCCGATCGTCATATTATTTTCACTCTAAGAGGGTTTAAATATCGAAATATCATAATCTATATATTATGTTCTCGTAGTCGTTTGCAATAATTTAAAAATTTTCAACTTAGCTATCACGTTTTTTTTTTGTGGGGGTTTGGTTAGTTTAGGTACGTCTCGTCATCGTTAATGATTGCATCCCGTTTACCACGCCAAAAGACGGCCTTGCGCGTTTCTCGAATGACACTGAGACACATCGCGATGATTTGGCAACTACCGTAAATAGGTCGTCAAGAGTCGTTTTGGAGCGGCGGCGAGCCAATTTGGCTCATTGTCGACGCACCGTTCCCAGTCCCTATATCAATAAGTCATAATTCTTAATGTCCCATGCCTCAGCGCAATGGTGTCTTATTATATACATGATGCATTGTAATATAATAATCAAAATATGATCGATGGATTCGGTCGCTGACAAGACTCGCGTAACTCAATACAATTACATATTGAGCGTTTTTTGTAATTTCGCCAAACTGATATTAAACTGATTAGATCAACGTTACCTTTGTATTGCATACTCTCATTGGTGTCATAATGTATGTAGGTACATTTACTCTGCAAAGTGTGATATTTTAATATTCGGCCTGAATATTATTATTGTTCATTAAAAAAAAACTACGTTAATATTCTTTTAGTTTCTGGGTGGGACGAATGAATATATTGACTTTACAACGATGTGTGTTTTTTTTTCTGTCTGCCAAAACCTTTTGGGGCAAAAAATGATCTGATAATCTACATCAGCATATTTTCTAGTAGTAATAAGATGAATCCAATCAGTAAATCTACGATACTTTTTTATGGCTGTTTGAAGTTAAAATTATGACGAAATTCATCAAAATTTCAAAAAATCTAAAAGATCGAAAAGATCATAATACTTACTGTATTATTATTACGAATTTTTCAGTTTTTCTGGCTATTAAAATTTATTTTCACACTTCCTTTTTTTTTAATTGAATATATTTTATCTGTTTATCAAATAAAAATAATAAGTCATAAGAATAACAAGATAATTATACAAAAACATGAATCACTTAAAAAGGAGACTTAGTATTTTTCACAACTTAAGCAAAAATTTGATTTTTAATACGACTAAAAAGTGCGCAAAAGCATTTTTAAAAATCGTTGGGTAAAAAATTTATAATTTGTGAACGCGCATTTATATTTTTAAAAGTATAGGTAAATGTTGTTTAAAAATCAAATGTAGCACTATATTGTAGGTTGTATTTCGGTTCCAAATGTAGGCTCCTGGTACAAGTTGCTCTAAGATAATGTAATTATACATCAGAATGTTCATTATCATCACTTAAATGAAACAAAAATAATTCAAATGATATTATATAGTGATACTTAAGTTGTTTAAAATATAAAAACATCGGAATTTAAAATTAGTGATCGAAAAAATGAATAAATATTGTAAAATAAATTAATAACAATTTTTTTAAAGTTTTTATACACCATTTATCACATGTCATTTGATAAGTTTTAAGATGTTTACAGATAAAAATAATCTAATCGTGGTACTTATATACATGCTCACTCAGTTTTTAAAATTATAATTGTTTTTTYGATTATTTATGGGGTAAATAGTAAGTAGTAATAGTTTATTATACTATATAGGTTTATACCTAACATAATATTAGTTAGACTATTGCTCTAGGTACCAAAATATARTTAATATTATGATTTATAATATATGGGTTTTAAACATAGCATAGTAATATACTGCACGTAATTTAATCATAAATAATAAATATTATTACGATAAAAATATTACATGAAATATGTAACTTTTATTTGCGTCCATGTTTTACCACGAGTGTGACAAAACATAAGTCAAATATATATAAAAAAAAGTATACCCATATATATTTTTTTCTTTTTTTTGATTAATTCTTTGTTTAGACAGGTATCTACTGTAATTATGTTGATCATACAAAAATACAAGAAAATTGTACGTTTTCTATGATGCAAAATAATACGATATGGATACAATACAATGGAGTGTTATATTGGATTGAGGTACCTGAAAAGATTCACACGGTATTTAATGTTAGACGAAATATGTGTTCCATTGAGAATTTCCTATCGATACTTTAAGTAATGCAATTTCATTCGATGTATGGTTTARTGCTAATCTCATTTTATCGAAAYACGATTCCCGTTAAACTCGAAAAACATAATAATAATAACAATGACTTGATGGTACCTTTTTAATCGCACCTATTTTTTTGACCATTGGGTGTAAAATGATTATCATAAATAATTTACTTTTTTTCTTTTTTTAATCAAGTAATTGAGTTTAGTAACGTTTTTGATCCAATTACAAATACAAACTACAATAAAACATAGGCAGTAGACACCACTAAATACGCAGTTTTTTTTAAATATTATTCCAGTGAAACGTCGACTCGTTACGAATTCCAAATAGATACTAAATAATTGTTTTTTAACGACTATGTAAATGTACTACAATATGCATTTCCTACCAAGTATTAACGCAATTGTATTTTGAATATTAAGTTCCTACATACTAATTTTAAAAGATTTAAGCACTAAATAAAATTTTTACTATTAMTATTGTTACCTAAGTCCTGTTTCAACTGTGTGACTAATTATAATAAGATTTAGGAAATATAATATTTAAGAGGTATTAAATTTTATGAAAGTTTCTTGGTTATTAGGTATCTAAACACATGTGTGCGTCCATTATAGTAGTTATTGATACATAGTTCCAATTGTTGATGTGATAAACATTGATAACGATCTAATTTGATACTATTGATATTATTATTCATAATTTAATCCATTTAATAAAAAATATATTTATATTTTTTATTATTAATTATGGAATTTCTAGCTAGAATAGCTATTAAAAAAATATATATAATGCATTCTTATGGATATTTCATCATTTGAGAATGACTAGACAAATTTTGAAAATKTGGGGAAAATTCAAAAGCGGTTTTCCACATAATTTTTTTTTGGTTATAAATGGTTTCCATTCTTTGGATAGTACCATATAATTTAATAATTAACAGTAGTATATTAGTAGAAATATGGTATACTGTTTAAAAATACATTTATAAAAAAGAAACAAATTTTGACTGCACGGGTAACGTTGGGTGTCAGCTAGAGCTTTGAAATTATAGGAGCTAAAAAGGAAAAATATGGATGAAACAATATAAATATATGAATTTTTATTATAATATATTACAAATGTTAATATAATATGCAAAACATTTATTATAAATAGGTACGTATTCATATTATTAAAATTCAAAATCMCAAAACAAATATTTTATGTTGTTATTCATTTGCACTAAAAGAAATGTACAACATAGAAAAATAAGATTAAAACATTTTATATAAAGTGAAAAAATGTTTGCATTTTAATATTTTAYAKAACGGATAAAGTATAGTTTAMAAAATTTATTCGAAAACACTGTACATTAGAATATCAATGGGRTAGAGATTAAATGCACATCGCCCCATTGTCGTTAAATTAAGCTTTCCTAACTTTTTTTTACAATTATAACTTTTAAATCAAAAATAAACRTTTATGAGAAAAACTATGATGAATCAGATAGATYTTTCTGAACTGCATCTGGTAGGTATTTTTATGTTTAATACATTAGCTTTTCTCTTGAATATTTAAWAATTGTAATTATATTATTCAAGAGAATAGCTAATGTATTAAACATAAAAATACCTACCAGATGCAGTTCAGAAAAATCTATCTGATTCATCATAGTTTTTCTCATAAATTTTTATTTTTGA